AGGACAGCAGCTCCCAACCACACCCAGATGGGACAGGTAACACAGAGCTACCTGTGGATCACAGATCAGAGATCCCTGCTGAACTCTCTGTCATGAGCTTCTGGCCTAACCTCTGCCTCTTCCAAAAGACAACATGTTCCAGCTACCCATCTACAGGATGGGGAATGCAGAGATTTGTGCAACAACTTATAATTGCACAGCTCAATCACTCAGCACCCATGAAGCACTTGGGACCCATGGGAGTCAGGTCAGCACATAACATCAGCTTGGATTTGATTTAGACACCAAGGATGGCTCACTGGTTTCCAGAAGTTCTGAGGAGCCCAGGTCCCTGCAATGTGGCAGGAAGGCAGGTGCTCAGCACCCTTGAAAAATCCATGTGAATTAGCTGAATGGAGATACACAAGGTCCAAATTTTGGTTCCAGACACAGAAGGCCTAAAGTCAGAAGCAGAGCGGTGCTGGGATATCAAACCCTTACAGAAAGAAGACAACAATCAGGGCAATGAAGCTCCAAGGGATGTGGAAGCTGCTAGAGACTGTTTAATTTGGAAGCTGGAGACAGCAAAAAGCTCCTTCACAGAGAGGACTTGCACTTAAGAAATACCAAAACTTGGGAAGTTAAAAAAAATTAAAAAAAAATAAAAGAAACAGATCTTAAATCAGCACATTCAGTAAAATCTCACACTGACTCTGGCAGCACCTTCTCTGAAGCAGTGACCTACTCCAAGCCAGAGACACTCAAGTGTGTTACAGACCACATAATCTCTGTCATGAAAAGATCACTGGTCAAATGAACTTGCAAACTCTTGGAAGGAAGAGGAAGGTTAAATACAAAGTAAAAATCATCAATTTGCAAAAAATGAAAAAACTATAGAAGAAACATTGTTGCAGCACTGAACCTACAGCGATGTTTGTATGAAAAGTGAAAGCCTGGTAACCACAGGCTGCCTCAAACACTGAGATATCTCTGCTGAGGCCTTGGAGGTTGCATTTTACTTGTGCTGACTTGAAAATACAAGTGATTACATCCAGATTCTGCAACTTTCAGGAACTGAGACAGATTCAGTCACACAAAAAAATTCATATTCTTGGTATCTTTGACTCTGAATTCCGCCTCCAAGGCTTCCAGGCAGCACTCCCTGCCACAGGAAGGATCACACAGCAGAAAGGTAACAGAAATCAGTAATAATAAAGATGTGAAGTGACAAGTACAGATATGAGGAAGAGACAGAGAAATATTTACAGGAAAATTCACATAAGTGGTAGGGAACATGCAAGTTTAGGATATTCCTATTTGGGGTTTAGGTTTTGGGGTTTTTTTCCCAAAATGGTAGGAACTCTCTCAAGTTACTTCATAAACATCTACAGGCTATGCAGCTACAGAGCCTGACCCCACATGCCAGAAGGGTATGGGAAAGCCTAAGAGGAGATTGAAAGAGCAACAGACACCTCAGAGAGGCTTTGGAACAGCCAGAAAAGAAACAAAAAACCTTTCCAGGAAAAACAGTCTCCATACTATAGAGAAAGAAAAAAAGGAAGCAGGAGAGTCTGATGTGTGACTGAACCTCCAGCAGCTTTTGAAGAATCCAGCCCTGACAGTTCAGTAGAACATCCAACACACTCTTGGGGCAGCTCTCTGGAAAGTGTGTGACTCTTCCAGGTGTCATAAGGAGAAGCTTCACACAGGGCAGCTTTGGAAAGCTTAAGTCCCAATAAATCCACAAGCTATAGGGAGACTGTGGAGTTCAACTGGACACCAGATACTTCAAACATCAAGTTTGTACATTAAGAAAGGTTAGTTCACTTTGTCACCTGTCCAAGTGAATCTGCAAGGCTCTTGTAATCAGGTTCTCAAGAGGTGACAACTCTGAAAGTCAAGAGATTTCCCGGTCAGCAGACAGAACACTCAAGAAGCAGCATGCTGTCAACCAGATGCCAAAAAACATTCCCTGTGCTCGTCCATTTCCTAGCAGGTTGATCTAAATCCTCTAAATCAGCATCCAGGTATCACTGCACAAGAATACAAAGCTTTCCAGAAAATCAAGAATCTCATCTACAGCCAAATGGTTTCCCATCTTGGTTTCAAGAGCAATGGGCAGCACAGCCCAGCCAGAAATCCTGCTATGCACAGCCAGAGTCACACCTCATCACATCACTCGTTAGTGTGATCTGAATCTCCTTTTAGCAAAGGCAACCAGCTGCAAGCAGCTCTGTAAAGCTTCCACATAGATAACGGAGTAATCTAATTTTGTTTGTGACCTAAATCCTACTTGGACACAGGACAGATGAGGTAAAAGGTGGGATGCTTTCCAGTTGGTATAATGGGTTGGAATTTGAAGAGCTCACCCTAACCATGGCTTGTGTCCTCCAGCCTCTGCAACGTCTGCTGCAGGGAAAACAAAGTTAGCAGCTGTTAATCTGGTCTAAGTAGCAAAGTCAGCCTGGGCTAACCTGGAAGGTCTCCACACCCTCAACTGCTCCCCAGCCTGCACAGTGTGGTAATCACACAGCCTCCCTGACTCTGACCAGGCATCAGCCATCAATAAAACTGTTACCCCTTCTCTAGACTGCATCCATTCAAAAATTAACTATATTCCCCAACTACTGCCTCTAATTCAAGCTCTATTCTGCCTTATCCTCTACAGGTCACATGTAAAATTATGTTTACAACTGTGCTGGAAGCCCTAGAGACAGGTAAGAAACATATTACGCCTAGATGAAAAATCTCTTTGCACTTTGAGAAGATTTGGTGGCAGCAGTTCCAGCTGAACCAAACAAGACACACCACCTCCATCACATGCAGTCACAGAACCAGAATGGACCTTCCTTCCTAACCCCTGCCTTGCTTTCTGCTGCTCAACACACCATCTCGGGCAGAAGCAACAGGGCACCCCTGGATAGGTGGATCCAAACCGCAGAACCCCGAATTTCATGTGAGACATTAACCTCTCTGTATCTTCAGATCCACCCATCTGGACCAACAGGGCCTGTCCAGGACAATCCCCAGCAGTGTGGAGCCAGTGCTCATTTCAGGAGGACACCCAGGCTGCTCGCCTCCACCAGGCTGAGAAGTGGCTTGGTGAACAGAAACACACTCTGCATCAGGAACATGTCTGGGCGAGGAGGTCTGAAATACCCAGTTCAAATCCAAAGTCTAGAAAAGGTTTCCAGCCTACTGAGGAAAAAGTCATTCCAGCATCTCAGGGAAGAAGGCAGGAGACGGAGATACATCAGCTGCGAGACAAACACTTGACAGAAGCGTGCAATCAGAAGATATCAACGCTGCTTTTGAGGAACAGCATCTGCTACGGACACAAAGGACACAAGGACAATTTGCTGCAACCAAGCTCAGCCAGCCTCAGAGAAACCACAGAGAAAACAACCAAGCTAATAGCATCCATCTCTTTCAAATAGACATGGCCATTAGAGCTTGCAGCCTCCTAAGAAAGCTTTAGCACAGACACATCACCATCAGTTCTGGCACTTGAACAGCTATCATACCCAACCCAAACACCTGCAAGCCCTCAGACCTAGTAATGCCATTAACCAATCCCTGCCAACAACTGCAACTGCCACAAAGAAAGAGCAGCACCTGTCTTGGACAGTGTTGACAATCACACAAACATGAAACTTAAGATGCCATAGACTAACAACAAAAGCTCTTCTGTGCTAGACAGGAGCCACTGTGACTTCCAGTGAATCCAAGACAGAAATCCACACAGATAAACACAGAAAAGTCAAATCCCTATAGATGGCTGACGGTGGGGGCTCATTAGCTGAGACTAAATTTATTTAATTCACTAACAAGGTCAGGGAGATGAAAGAGCCCCAAAAGGGTTTCTGCAGAAAATCTTTACAAGAGTTTGATGATGGGATGAGACACAAAAAGTGAATACCTAAATGTGAGCTCTATAACCATGTGAGCTCTATAACCAATAAGAATACTCTGTTTCAGAGAGGAGAGAGAAAGAAAGAGGAGGACTTGCTGGACAGGTCACTCAAGATTTTAAGAATCATCTAAACTATTTTATGAAATTTCTCTATATTGTAATTACCATCAATGACTCATCAGAAACATGTTCCTAACTTGATAGAAGTTTGTTCGAAAATCCCCAGCATAAAGAAGCTCCCAGAACAGAGCCCAGCAGGTTTGTCCAGGTATGTTCCCCAGCAGGGAAGCAGAAGGCACTGAGCTCCAGGAGAGAGGCAGTGACATGCAGAGCCAAGCAGGAGCAGCCTATGACAGGGACAGAGAGCTCAGGCAGCAGGGAGGCTGTAGGTGCAGTTTCTGAGACTTGACACTGACAAAACTCCTGAGACCTTAGAGAAGAAAAATGTGGGACATCTTTTGCATGCTTGCTGCATCTGCCACAGGGACCAGCTGCAGAGCAGCACTGTCCAGCTAGATTGGTGGATCTGAGGATACAAAGCTGATCTTTTTGGTGCTGATGTACCCTGGTATTTACTAGAGTCAGGAACAGCTCTGTGCCACACTTGCTCTCAGACTTTTGACAGGGATATCCTGGGGCTAAACTGGCTAGAAAACTCAATGAGACCTAATCTCTGCATAACTCCCCTAACATCTCCCTGTTGCTGAAAAATGATAATCCTCAATCTTTGTTTTAGTGCTGAAAACAATTCTATCACACTTATGGCTTTCACAAGTAACATAGAAACAAGAAATTCTAACAAAAAGTAATAAGCTGAATAAAGAGATAGGAAAACAACAGTGAATCAGTCTAGACATTAATTATAGGTGTACCTAGCATTACCAGCTACAATACTCAATTCAATCACTTCTGGAAAGCATTAGCTACAGCATAAACCAAGAAGATCCCAATTTAACCTTTTTTAATTCTGGAAAAAAATGACTCAAAGTGAGAGATTTAAACAACCTACAAATAACTGGACTAATCAAATTGCATTTAACTAACACTGGGTGCTGGCTAATTAATTTCAAAGTTGTTCCACTAGTTGTGCCATTGGCTTTATACTCACATGTGTGGATTTTGGAAAGGAACTCCAGAAGTATTTAGAGTAAATCTTGCTGTGGACTTGAAAGGTGGATTTGCAAAATTTAACTTCAGCGCTTTGCGTTTACCTGGGAGACAACGAACATAAAGTAAACTTTTTGTCAGCAAAAAATATTGAGAGCATCTGGAAATAAACAGAGAAAAATGGCATATTGTAAGAAAAGGATTTTACATTTTACAACATTAGCAAATCACAGCTTGTGTTAGGACATAGGGATGGTGACACAGAGTCAGCTCTCATACCAAGGTCTTCCCCAGCTCATTCCAAGGCAATGGCCAAAGCCACAGCATCTCCTGTGAACAGCTGGAGCACCTGGATCACCTGTCAGGGCTCCAGCAACCACAGCACCTCCAACCCCAGGGCTGAGCATCCTCCATGTACACCCACGGGGCACAGAGTCCCGACCTGCCACACACAGCCTGGGCACACCACCGGACCTGGAGGGATGGCACTGAGGAGGGAAAGGGCACCTTGGGATGGTTTTTATGTGACACTCCAAGCACAGGGTAACTGTTGGGGTTCCTGACCCTCATTTGCTAGCAGCAAATGGAGATAACCAGGTTCCTTCTGCCAAGCTAGCTGCCAAGCAGAGGGTGCCTGAGGGGTGACCAGGTAAGGGAATGCTCTGCAGTTAACTGAGGAGGCAGTGGGAAACACAAAATAAATAAATAGTAGTGTGGGAGGGGTCTTGGTCACTGCACCAGCCACTGTCTCTGTATTTTCCACTGAAGGTGAGATGATCTGTTTAAGCAACAGCAGGATCAGGACTACAAAGGCAGTTTTCCCTCGCCAGCCCTCCCACTGGGGTGCAGAGGATGCTGTCTTGTTCCCATTTGCCCACAGGAAACCTGTACTTCTCCAGACCAAAACAGCTCAAATTAGGCCTGTTCTCCCCCCACCTTCCCAGGAGCCCGTGACTGAATCCCCCCGCAGCTACCCACTTCCTCGGTGATGTCTTTGGGTTGGAAAGGTCTTTAAAGATCAGCTCATTCCAACCCCTTCCATGGGCAGGGACACCTCCCAAAAAAGCCCTATCCAACCTAACTTTGAATGATGAGACAACCACAGCTTCTCTGGGCAGCCTGTGCCTCACCACTCCCACCGAAACAACCCATTTCAAGCTGACACTAAGGACATTCAGCCAGCACAGATGCAGAGCATTTTGTACCTCGTGTTTGTCCCTTGAGCAAAGCACACGGCTGAGGGCAGGTCTGCAGCAAGAAGGAACCAGAGGGCCTTGTGTGAGTGCACAACCTGTCACACCACCGTGCCATCGCCTGACCGACCTCGCACACTCCTTCTGAATGCTTCCCTGGGGGCATCTCCCCCTCACACAGGGCAAAACCAGAGTTCACCACTGCAAAGGGGCTGGAGGATGCAAGGCTTATCCCTGAAAGCTCGCCCTGTTTGTGGGCTCTCCCCAGCTCTGCACAGGCACAGGGGTGCTGCTGGGCAGAACCTGTGGAGAATGGCCCCTCGTCAGGGCAGCACAAATCCGCCCTCACACAGGCTCCAGGGATTTCTTCTATTATCCTTTGAGTCTGTTTTATTGACACGCCTGAAATGCCAGCCCTCTGTCAATTGTGTTGTAAGATTTTTTCACAGCAATGTTTATACAGCTCAGGAGAATATTGGACTTGAAGTGGCCCAAGTTTAAAACTGACACTAACTACAAACCTCATCAGAAAATCTCCTCACAACTTCTCCTATTCTTACTATTTGTAAGCTTTGTACACCAAGTTTCCCCCTGTTTTTACCCAGGGATAGAATGCTTTGTAACACAGTCAAATATTGATCTATTGATTTCTACCACAGTAGGTTTATAAGGATAGTTTCAATTATGTCAATCCACCATCTGAAGCTGGATTTTCTACAAATCCAACAAACACAGAAGCTTAGGCAGCCCCTGGGAAGCAAACAGGATGGTTTGTTTCTGCTCAGCTGATGAACACGGAATGTGACCGGGAAAAACGAACATCCTGAGAAATGCCAGGAATTTCCATCCAGTGCAGATCACATGGAGAGCACTGTAAGTGAAACAACAGACTCAAATGAAGCGAAGTCTGAGGGGAGCTAAAGCAAACTGTGCTCCTCAGCAGCCTCCATAGCTTCAGCTCTGGACTCCAAACCTTGAGTTTCATCCTAAAAGAGACTTTTGACTCCACGTCTCTATTCCTTGCACACACATCATTCTAACTGAAGGCAGAAGAGCCTCTTTAGATGGAGTTTTGCTGTGATTTTGCTCCGCACAGGTTCATTACAGACCACCCTGCCTCCCTACAACAAAGAGATTGTGGGGGTAACGGAGCTTCTGGAATTCACTAATGCCCATCACCACCAAAGCTGTGTGACCAAAACTGCCCGAAAATGTGCTGCAGAAATAGCCACCCTATATAAATTGTCTTTTAAAGGTTCTGCTAATTTAACACACGATTCTAATCATCGACCATTATAACATCTACTTCTCTGAGAACTTTTACAGTAAACATTATGGGAGAGAGAATGATTTGGAAGAAACCAAAACCCTGCAATAGATAACTTTTTCACAATTTAGGGTAATCCTTAACACCAGACCTGAAATTATGAACTTTCTTGACTTATGGTCTTCCCAGCTGTGACTACTGGGTTTGTTCAGCTGAATGTTTATCATTATACCAAGTCCAGACCATATTTGAAAGCTGGATGGCCTGGACTTCAGATGAGCAGAAGTGGCAGGTACTACCTTATATTTTGAGGGAATCTAAACAGGATTGTATCCTACATTAGACTGCTCTCCAAGAAGAAAAAAGACAGCCAAAAATAGCTTTCTGGTTGTAAATAATTTAATCTACCCATAAGGTACCAATCTTTATTGCAAATCATCCCAGCCCTGAAGTGGTAGTGCTGGTGGTATCCTCAAAACTATTTTTAAAAGGATGTGATTCTACCACCAGGCCTGTGCATGGAACTGAGGTCCAGGAATGTCCCCCAAACACACAGTCCTTGGCATTCCATAGATCACAGCCAAAAGAAACTGGGAAAAGCACCTACACAACAGCCCCTGAAAAATTCAGGCCCACAGCATCCCGTGCTCCTTGCTGCACTGGTGAATGGGTGCTAGGCCAAGGACAGAATTATTTATGTGCTGCTACCAGTCACCAGAATTAATCCAGGCACTTGGCTCTGCAGTTAAGTTCTCATCACTGTGAGAACCCTTTACCACCACCACAGCCAACCAGCCTTCACACAACAAAAAACAGCTGTCTAGCAGGTCACATGCAGACCAAAAGTATTCCTCCAGAGTTAGACTGTGTACTACTATTTTTACTTCACATAGGACATCTATTATTTACAGAATCACAAAATCATTAAGGTTGAAAAGACCTCTTAAATCTCCAAGTCCAACCATCACCCTCCAGCACCACCACCTTGCTCATTATCAAACCATGGCCGCAAGCCCCACATCCACACGTTTTTACACTTCCAGGGATGGGACTCCACCACATCCCTGGGCAGCCCCTTCCAATGCTTGACAGCTGAAGAATTTTTTCCTAATATCCAATATACCTCTCCTGGCCCAGCCTGAGGCCATTCACTTTCCTCCTGTCCCTGTTCCCGGGGAGCAGAGCCCAAGAACCCATCAGGGAGTTGTGCAAAGCCAGAAGGTCCCCCCTGTGCCTCCTCTTTGCCAGGCTGAGCCCCTTTCCCAGCACCCTCGGCTGCTCCTGGAGCTCCAGACCTTTCCCCAGCTCCATTCTCTTCCCTGGGCAAGCTCCAGCCCCTCAAAGTTTGTCTTCTCATGAGGGATTCAAGCTGCCTCAACAATGCCCAGCACAGGGGAATTGTCAGTCTCCTGGTCTTGCTGGACACACTGTGGCTGGTACAGGATACCTCTGGTCTTTTCTTCAAGCTTCTGAGTAACTTCCTGTTGGAAAAAGCAATTCTAACTTCTTCCTAGAATCTCCTCACCACCATTCCTGCATGCTTCTCAAGAGCACTGCTTACCACATTCAGGTTACACAGAACAACATGCTCCCTTTTCAAGCAGTAAGATTTTCAAAACAGCAGTAGTTTAATGGATTTTTCCAAGGTCTCCATCTTGAAAGGGTACAAACTGATCCCTGTCAAAATGTTTTCCACTTGGTTCAACTCTGCAGGATCAACCTCTTGCTGCCACAGCCTGAGCACATGTCACAGCGATCAAGTGAGTCACACTGCACAGGTAAATATTCTCTCTGGTCAGATGCTGAAGTCACTCTCTGTTTGTGGAGTGATGATACACCAGGAATCAAATCTGCGCTCTCTTTCCTTACTGTAACCAGAAGAAAAAAAGAGATACAACCGCAGAAACAGAAGCTGTGACAGCAAACAGCAGGAAGGAAAGTCAATGGGTCTGTAATGAACCGTGCAATCTTTCTACCTCTCCCTTGTAATAATACAGCACATCAACAAAAAGACAGAGGAAATGGGGAAGAATGGATTATTCACTTCCATTTGAAAACGGAGCTGAATGCTTGAGGTCATTTTCTTAATAGAGAACTATCAGTTCTGATTTCTTCCAAGGTAATTCCAAGCAAAGCTAGTGCAAACTCTAGCATGAGACAGGAAAAAAACCCAACAAAACGACACAGATCTCTGCTCTTCCAACAGCTTTAAATAACCAAACTGCTGTATCTTGTCTGCTAACAAAATGCCTGCTTTGATGTAGAGACAGCAAAGAACATTTACCTGCATTCAGAGCTGCAGCCCCGCAGTTGCTGACATCCTGAATGCTCACAAGATTTCCAGCTGCTTATTTCTGCTGCTCTGCCTGCCCACAGACCCTTCCAACCTACAATTTTGCACTTATATTTCCTTCCTTTCCAGTCTTGCTCATGAATCTACTCCAATACCAGCACAACTAATTTGGGAGTACAGTAGGTTTCCAGCCTTACATTCAAGATAAACTATTTTTCAAGAAAAAACTAGTCAAATTTTGAAAGAAAACTTGAAGAACTTCAGCATATCATGCAGTTCTATTTGAGGAGCCTGGATGAAAGAAGAGGCCTAGGGTTTGACTTATTAGTTTTAAGAACTGCAACTACGGAA